ATGATTTGATTTGTCTAGATTAGACAAATCGAATGGTAATAATTCCGCTCAAATCGGATCACTGGATGTTGAGATATCATGTCCTAAAGTGACGATTTATTGTATTTGGAGTATGAAAGTTTATGAACATGCAATACCCGATATCGATATAGAATCTATCAATCAATAAAAGTATCAGTGTTTGTGATGTACATGTACTATGCAATAAAATTTCAGGGACCTACACATGATCAATTACATAAGATGAATAAAGCCTTTTGCTTTCCAACGTAATTATCAAACTGATACGACACTACGTATAATGAACATGAAAAATATCATAATGTTGAAGTATATACTGATTTCTTGAGAAAGTTCGAGATATAGAAATATTATTATTGATAATTTGAATGTTAAGTACATAACATCTAAACTTAATTAAGAAATAATTAATAGTTTTTTTTTATTTTTGACTTGATTCATTAATTATATTATATGAATTTATATAACTCGATAATTTTGATAATTAAAAAATTTATTGAATTACAAAATACAATCTATTTATCAATACATTTAAATATAAAAATAAATATACGTATTTGTAACAATTGTTATTTGTAACAACCATATTTTAATTGGCTAATTAGAACCCGAATTAGGGTTAAAAACAAACAATTATTTTTCAGTTTAGCAGAGATATATTTTCTGCCCAAAAATCCAAAGTGAAAAAGTTCATACACTTTTTATAACAAATTAAATAAATAAAATCTTATCAAAAATGTATAAATATATATTTATAATCATATTATAAGATTTTTTTATAAAAAGAATATAATTATACACTGACCTACTATAAATTACCGTGCATATAAAAATTTTTGATAATAAAATATAGTAAAAGTTGAAATTTTCATTTTATAAGAATTTATATTGAAATATAGATTCTTAGTTCTATTTTGATATAAAAACAAAAAATATTTATTAATTAAAATAAAAATTTCTTTATAAAATGAAAATTTCAATTTTTACTATATTTTATTATCAAAATTAAAAGGTGAATAATGTGAAAAATATGAAAAATAAATAGATAAATCTGGCTTAAAACATTAATAAAAAATGTTGAGAAGATAATTTTACATATAATATTTTATTTTATTTAATTTTAATCCTAATCCTTAACTCTAATGCTAAAACTAATCTTTAATATTCTTAACCAATCAGAACTTAAAAAAGAAAATTTGTAAATTTGTAATAAAATTATGTAAATACATGATTATAAATAGATAACTTTATAATCTGATTTTAAACTAATTTATTTTTAATTATATAGGGAATAACAATAACAAAAATGATGATAACAATAACAATTCTCAAAATATATTGGTATTGCAATTTTTATTTATATATTATTAATATTAATAAATTATTCTTTTATATTAATTCTTTGATTTTAATGATTTATTTTTATACAAGACTATTATTATGTTCTATTATTATAAAGATACTTATTTCATGTTGGTAAAAATATTTGAAAGTTTTTGTTTCTCTAACTTTGGTTTGTTGATAATAATATGCTTTTTGATTGGATTTGTCTTTCTATTTTATAAAAATTTGAATCTATTCTTTCTTATAATTGCTTGTAATTATGAATTTTAAGATATTAAATAATTAATAAAGTAGAACATTATATAGTAATATATTAATATGCTAGTTAGCCATTAGTTTTTCTTTTTGTTGTTATAAAATTTAACATTTTCAATAATTGGTTATGATATTTTTTATTGATTATAATAATCATTTTAATTATAAAAAGAAATAATTATCCCTGTAAAAACATCTAATTTAACCTTAAAGCCATTCTTTCTTTTATTTATAAGAATTTTGAAGAAACTGCATCATAAATCTTGAATTATTCATTGTGTAGAAAAAAATCAGATTAAATTAAATTTTAAATTTCTACATGGAAAGGGTACTATATGTAGTATTACATATATATGGTAATATTAAAAAAAACCAAGCAAATTATATAATTGCTTGGTTTTTACTGACGGTCCATATAGTTATTCAATTTTTTGTTCTATGTACAAGTTGTTCCCATTAATTCTCAAATTGCCGTTATACATTATATCCAATAATAATCACTAATTGAGGTATATCGATATTGCGCGATTTTATTTATATCGAGATGTCGTTAATAAATTATAATAATGCTGGCTAGAATTACATCTCTGAACCATGCGACATGGTGCATAACATCTAAAGTCATAAAACGTTTGTATTTTATAAAATGTATAAACTTCTTTATTAAGAAGTAAATACAAAGTTTAATCCGTGAATATGATAGAATAGGCTCTTCTGAGCATATTCACGGGTTAAATTTTGTATTTACTTCTTAATAAAGAAGTTTATACATTTTATAAAATACAAACGTTTGATGACTTAGATGTTATGCACCATACATCAATAGTCACGACATATGGCATTTTGTCATTTTTCATAAAAAGTTGAATAAACATCTTGGGTAGCTAATTTAATGTCTCGATGTAAAAATTACCTTCTTTTAGGTATCCGATCTTACTATATTTGCAGACTATCAATTGTGTTCTGTAAGTTCTTGTATCGTGAAATTTTAACGATACTTTGACTGACTCGTCTGAACGATACAAACCGAGCGAAAGAATACAATCTTGCGCGTGAATATGAAGTAAATATTTTGTGTTAGGTAAATTTTAGTCTTGTAATACAATTTGTCAATGTAATTCTCGACGTCAAGATCCTGAAAACTATACGCATTAGGAAAGGGCGTTTTTCTATGCATCTCAGTAAATTTGTCACATAAGCTCTTCTTGTCAATGCTGAAGCGTTATTTTATTGTTGTTGTTACTCGAGAATATTGTTAATGAAAATATATTATATGAATATATTTGAAAGAAATAATTTGGAACATCACAAAGAATATTTTATCCAAATAAAAGTAACTTTAATTTAAAGCAAATCTTGGGTAATAATATACACTTTAAAATTTTGCATCATAAAGTATGAATTCACTAACAGACAAAGATTTCTCCAATGATTTATAACTCAAATGATTACATCAGCCTCTTGCATTGCCAAATTAGCATACACAAAGTAGTGGTATGTTGCAAGTTCAATCTTTGCGTCCATCTGCCGATGCTAATATGCCTCGGCCAGCATATATTATTGATTTTTTAGTCTTATTTATCATTTTTGCGGCACGACAAATGAGAGAATCATTAAAATCTTTAAGAGGGATGTTCTCGTTTGGTGACTTAATGAAATGCTCGGAATGGAAGAATATATTGTGTTGGCATAGCATGATCATAACTTGTCGTACCACTGAAGCATTTGAAGTAGCAACAACAGGCAAGTTCTGTTTTAGTCGACTTATTATAAGATGTAACAGCTGAGATTCTCACTAAAACATGGTATCCAATGTCCGACCAGGTTAAAATTTAAGAACAAACCAAATTAATTAAAAAGTTAGTCATCACCGACAAACTATCTGAAAAATTCTGAAAGATACTTATCTTTGATTACTTTCAAAGTCAAAAATCAATCTGCAAGATCTACTAAAGTTCTTTTTTCTATTATTCTATACAGCAAGCATACAAGGAAATAGTCAAGAAATTAATCTTTATGATCCTTTTTCCAATTCCCAAGAAATACTGGAGAAATATTTGGCAGAAAACACTGTAAAATAAATGTTATACAGTCAGACCTCCCTAAGTGCACCCCCCTGGGGACCATAGTGAAAAAAATATAAAAAGTGGATTTAGAGAGGGTGTGCATTTATAGAGAGCAAAATACACAGAGCTCTTATAAGCTGGGACCAAGCTATACTGTGCATTTAGAGAGAATTTATATAATCCGTGCATTTATAGAACGTGCACTTAGGGAGGTCTGACTGTACATCACTTGCTATTAATAATCCATTTATATATACTGGTCCAGATTATAATTCTCATTTGACGATTTAGCGGATTTTTGTCTTCTCCTTCCCTCCATGTTCGCTATCGTCGTGTTTTCTCTCGCGTAATGATTCTAATAAACCATTTTCGAGATAGATGTTGCTGGTATATTCAAGTGTCGTCACAAACATCATCGATTGCAAGGTTCGCCCGATCTTTTCGATGTCCAATTTAGTTTGTTGGAAATTAAGCTGAAGTTCCCCTCGAATTTCTTTAGCCTTCTTGAGAAATATTTTTTTCGGCTCGTTTCCTCCTCAAATCACGCAATAATCAGAAACGCCTTTAGGGGTGAGCGGACACTCGGATATTGCAATAAGGCTTCTGATATAAGCTGCATATGTTTGGGTAGGTTGGTTGAGCGGTTACATTTAGTGTTTCAGGCGATCTATCAGGGGTCTCCAAATTAAGGGTTTGGTTAGATAGGGTGAAACTGAAAGTTCACTGGGCGAACACTTCGGATTTGAAAATAGTTTCACCCAAAACACTGTCGAATAGCGGAATAGAAGTGGTAAAAAATTCCTGCAGATGGTTGCGTGTTGCATAAAGTTCCGTATGGAACCTTCCCGTCCTTGTCTCTTGCTAATTTTAATTTGTTGATGCAGTGCTGCAGTTGCTGTAATCGTTGCAGCAACTGCAACTGCGTTTTTCGTGGTCGTGGTGGTGATCGTGATCATGATCGTGGAGGTAGTGATCTAGTTCGGGAGCGGATTCGAGAGCGGATCTGGAGGGTTTGTGGGTGGGTCGGCAGGTTTGTTATAGGGTTTGCTTATTTTCTAAATAATAACGCGAAAATGAGTATTATGCGTTCGTGCAGAAAAATGTTGGCAACTTTTCGAATTGATAAATGAAAAAAACTAACAATAAGATATTCAAGAATGACAACGCATTAGAATTTCTTATATTGCAAAAAACGACGACCCAGCATACTACATTATTATGATTTAAATATTGAAATCTACAGTGCTGAATCACGTGGTCTTTGACACAAATGTGGAAAACATGTCAAAATCTAGCTTTTGAAGCACTAATAAAAAATGTCAAAAAAGCAATTTTACATATCCTCAGCTCTAACCCTAACCCTAATCCAAACGATAAACTAACCTTTAACGTCAATTTTCTGTGATCACGTGAGCGTGGATTTTTTTTAAGACCACGTGACCCAACACTGTCCCGTTTTGGATAATGTGTTAACGGGAAGTCTACGGACAGTGCATAGGGACAGTGCAAAATCATGTGATCTTTCCGGCCAAGTGCCGGACAGTGCT